TGCTTAAAGAATAAAAGAAAAACAACTTCTCAAGTAGGCCTACAGTACACTTAAAACTTGCAAGGTAAGGACAGTTTAGTTATTGCTACTCTTGGTTTATTTTTGTTACAGCTAGATTTACAAATTCAGATCATCACAGTATTTGTTCGGGGTAATAAAATAAATAACACCTGGGTTTGTGTGTAATAGTAAAAATATCATCCCTCGTAAAAGTATATTGGTTATTCTTGCAAAATATTAAATACGTTTACGTACGTAGTTTTTATTTTATTAACTTTGAAAATATCTGGTACCATTTTTGCTATTAAATTTGGCATTATTTAGCCAATTAATACCTACCATAATTATGTAATTAAAATTTAACATTTTTTTCTTTCAATAAGGGATCTGAGAGATACATAGATAATGTTAAAAAGTACAAAATGTTATCCCTTCTGGGGTTTGAACCCACGCACCTCAGTTTCAATACACTTTACAGTAATTCTATCCTAATTGAAAACTCTTCAAAGCGGTGACAATGCATTAGGGGTATACTACCTTAAGTATAATTATTTTAAAACTATGAAAGGTTTCAACAGAAAACTGGTTTATCATGACAAGACATCCTTAGTAATTTTTTAAAGCTCAATTGTTTGAGCTGTGCCCATGGTTACTCTCTTTTAATCATTTTTATTTTTCTCCTTTTTTTATCTTTATTTTGACTGAAACTGGCATTTATTCTGTAGGTGAATAAAACAAATCTTCAGGTCGGAGCTCTTTAATTTGTATACATTATGCATCTATGATAAATCCATTTTTATACTACATTGGGTGGAACAAAATAAAGTTGAATTTTGAAATAGTACCAGAAGATATGAAGCTTGCCTATCACAGATTACACGTGAAAAAAAAAACAGTTTTAAAAGCAAGCACCATATCCTACGTGTTTTTATATAGTATTCATAGAGAAGTACTGGAACCACCTGTGTTGAAAATGGTAAATTAAAACCTAAAAAAAGAACAACAACAAAAAAAACCCAACAAACATGTACACAAATCTTTGAGTATATTTACGGGGCGACTTTTCTAAAACTCAAAAGAAGACACTTTTCCCTGTTCAGAAATTGTAAACAAAGTGTTTGTGGTTTGATCCATGCACACACTGACAATTGTATCCCGACCACATACTTCTAGCATCGTTTTATATTCGCCACCTCCAGCCTTGATCTGGATGACTTTACTTCCACAAGCAACATACACATTATTGTACCTGTCTGCTGTTATACCACGTGGGTCACTGACCAGTTGGCTATCGGATCGAAACATTAAACGCCCGTCTACCGAAAATGCCATCACCGAACCATTTCCTTTATCGGAGACATAAAGGATAGTGCCGTCAGAATTTGAATTTAAATATTGAGGTTTAGAAAATAATATATCACCCTCATTTTGTATCCGATGTTTTACATTACCTTTAAAATCAACATACTGTATTTGCCAGTTCGGTATCTCATGGAAACGTTTTGGTATTTCAACGGATAATGCTAAACCATTATCGAAAGATGCGATTCCGAAACAGCTACCAGCTTTATTGTAAAAGGCATCCTGGAAGTCTTCACCATCTGGTAATTTGTAAACCATTTGGTTACATGGCAATGTAAGATAGAGTTCTCGCCTAGTTTTGATGTAGCATATATCTCCAGGAAATATGATATTGATATCTTCTTTTGTTTTCTTTTTTTGTGACACATTTGGGTTTGTCATGTAGATAACATAATTTCCATTTATATGATTCATAGCGATAAGAGCTTCCGTAGTATAATGGAGAGAGGATTGCAAGTTGTCCATCCTTTACAAGAATTGCACACCGGACTTTTTGTTGTGAGGCTTTGCTTGATTTTATCATTAATGTTTGTGTTTCCGTTGCTGACAGATTGGAGCCGAAAAAAGGATTTGAGTTTTCTTGGTCTGAATGGACACAGCATTCCGGACACAGCTGTTGTTTGCATTGTTTGCACTTCGATAATTTCTCAAATTCATTTTTACAATTAACACACTGCAATATTTCATTCGACCCTATATCAATAGACGCTATATCAATAGTTGTAGTCCCTTGATTTGATCCAACATTTTGTTGAGAAGCGACAGTAACACCATTTCCCATATCTAAAAATGGCAGGTTGATAGAATCACATAATGTAATTACATGTCCAATCCTGTTAAACAGATAAATCGCGAAAGAATTATTATTATTATTAATTTCTTTATTTTTCTTAAAGTATAATGTCACTGATAAGTATCCAACTAAAATAAAACAAAAGCATCATACGTTTGTTTTTATAAATTTTGCTTCGTTTACCTGTGCATTTATGAAGGCTTTTAAACAGGTATATTCCCCGACAGGGTATTTAATTTAACTGATAAGATTAAGTAGATGTAACGACGTAAGAATTTATTTGTCGATATTGTTATTCGACGTATGTGTTATTGCGGTTTGTTCTATCTTTTATTGAAAATATATTTTAAGAGCGAAACAAAATATTTTAGAACTACAAAGACTTATTTAAAGACGCATTATGTCTCAGAATTGAAAAAAAATGTTTTCTTCTTTAGAAAGGGAAAACATAAGTTTTGTAAGGTGTACAGGTTTTAGGGTATTTAAGATGCATATCATCTGAAGAAAGTAGTGCTTAACGTGAAATTATTTGCCATAAAAGGAGCTAAAGGTAAACAAAGTAGTAATTTGACTTCCATACAAAATACCAAATCACTTTAACTGTCCTAAATGCAAAAAAAAAAAAAAAAAAAAAAAAAATAAATGGCAATGTAACTGGCTTTTGAGTAATGTTTCGAAACTTTATAGGACACACATGTCAATGTAAAAGCCTTTGAGAAATATGTATTTCTGAGTCAAAATGGACATTTTGACCTTTTTTCATGTTCAAACCGTCACTTCAGATATTACATTATAATTTGATTTCCGAGACTAGGATACAAATTAACTACACATATTTGACATTTCGTCAAAAATGCCAGTGTTATGTCATTGCAAAAAAAAATATGTACGTTTGACACTGATAACATCGAGTAGGTAATATCCCGCAATGAATAATCTATTGGAAGTATTATTTTATATCTTATTTTACGTCAATGATGTGTGTATTGCATAAGTCGAAATTTTATACGAGATAAATGTCTGTCGGGAATACTTCCTGTTTTGGAAGCAAGGGATTCATCTTCAGTGCTTTAGTGATCAGGCAGTTAACGGCAAAATTCTGCCTGATTAGATATTTTTTAGACCATTTGAGGCACCTCAAGGAAAATGACCTGTGCAAACAAGTTTTCATCTTACAAATATTTGAAAATCGCCAACAGATAAATGTCTTTTTAAGTTCTTAAAATTGAAATATTTTAAGCTTTAATTTAATTGAATATAATATAGTTTCAAGAGACACGCTGGTTCTCGTTTTGGATGCAGTTTCATGAATTGTATTATAGGGAGTGTATGTCACATGTTGATAAAACAGTGCAGTTTTTAAAAAGAAGGGAACAAGTAGATATTTGCAGTCTAGAAGGGACATTCTATTACAGAAAAGATAATAAATAGACCTTATCATACTGTAAATAGGAGACCATAGTGATGTAATTCAGGCTATTGTCTTGCGTGTTTTGGTAAACATTTGGCGAAAACAGTAAGTCTGCTGTAGAGCTATACTTTCACATGATTCACAAAAGAACAACTTCCTTGAAGAGATTTCGGGACGGACAAAAAAGAAAACAATGATTTATATAGAAGAGGACATTGCAAAGACCCCGGTGGGTCCGAGAAAAAACTTTGGTCAAGTGTCCAGAGTAAAACTTGCAGGGTCTTGTAAACAGCTACAAACATTGTTAAACAATGTAATGTTAACAATTTATTGTTTCATTTTTGACCGCATGGCATCATTAAAAGAAGGGGATATAGGGCTAATTTTTGAAAATGTAGGGCTAACAGGAAAATTTACAGAAAATCCCGCTTAAAATCATGGTTATTCCAGTCGTTGTCACTTCTACATTTTTTCTCGATGTATTTGTGTTATAATCTCCTTTTCACAATTCTTCTTTCATATCTCCTTTTTTCTCCTTAGGATGTGGAATACTGCAACTTTGATGTTTTCATTTCCTTGCTTACCTAACCTGAGGTTACAGTAAGCAGTCAGGATTTTGTATATTATTCGCTGTCTTATAAAGTTGCAATGTATTTAAAAAAGACAAGCTTTTGGTTTTCAGGAAAATCTCGAAATTCAAAATTATTTGATTGTAGGGATTGTAAAAGGGAATGACTCTTTCTTTTTCTGCAATTATGGGTGATTTTCAAATTTGTGTGGGTTTAAAACTCATATGCACAGGCCATTCCTCTTGAAGTACGTCAAAAACTTCCCTTCCCTAAAAGATACATAAAATCCCAACATCAACAGCAATAATAATAAAAAATAAACATAAATAAATAAATAAATAAAAAAAAACAACAACAAAGAATAAAAAGACACAAAGCAACAACAATAGAAACATTAACAACAACAACAACAACAACAACAACAACAGACAAACTTCCTGGTCGAGAATGATTTTGACGTACCGCCTTATCGGGGAGTACTGAACGGAAATCCCTTTGCTTCCCAAACAGGTAAAATGCACCACTGAATTTAGTGCAAAGTCTTTTTGTAAAATCACAATTTCATGTGCCGGTATTAAAATATATGAAAATTGTTGTATAGTATATACATATGTTTAATCTAAACACTTTATAATACTGTAATGCGCACGCCCATTATCTTCCCGCCATTCATATTTACCTGGAACATTCAGTGGTCATTAAACGATTGAACTAGCAACACGTGTCTGTGTAACACATTTCATGTGCACGCTTTGTGTAGATATCAATAAACAGACCCATAATACAACAAAAATTAATTTACAAGAATAGTGTAATCATTTTAAATTGCAAAATTATATCATATATAAATAATATATAATTTAAACATATATATATTTTTTTTCATTTTCAAGGTAGGAAGTTAATTTGTCAATAGAAGAAACATACACAATTTGTTATGAATATCTGAAAATAAAAGAGAAAATAATTGAATATTGATACAAAGCTGAACAAGTTCCTGTAACCATGCCCCGTTGATCAGGCGGATAACAATTAGTTTTACATTTAATTTACACTGCAAAAAGCATATAGAAGTAAAATGTTTAAGATAGTTAATGCAATGACGAGCACAATGAAGATAATCAGAAAAAAGCCATTGCAACAATTAGTTTCAACATCTGCTATTTCCTGTTCTCCTGGTGCCTGACCACCAACATCTGCTATTTCCTGTTCTCCTGGTGCCTGCTGGTTGCAGCATGCATTCCAACATATTTTACACACATTGACAATTCTCTCCATGTTCTTTATTAAAATCCGACTGACAACAATACCAAAAAGCCCGAAAATACCTCCAAGAAAATCGTTTAGGAGATCAGGACTGATATCTGGGAATACATTCTTTCCTTCCAAACGGAGACATGAGCTTGAAACTATCAGAAGCATTATTAAACTGACACATTCAAAAGCACCGACGATGACTTTCAGAATAAGCATGGTGAAATCATTAAAAAGTATCCTCAAATAACGTACAATTGGATCCGTATTGTTATAATATCGATATATGTCTACTGGTATTTCGATAACAGATATAACCAATTTCAGTAAAACAAAAGCAAAGTAGACCCATGTATATGTCTGTAACTGAATCTTACATTCGTTCACTGGTTTATCCTTCTTAGCATCATGTAAAAGATCTACATTTGTTTTCATTTCGCAAAAATTCATCCAATCGAATACTATTCCGACCACAGTAAATACGATACCAAGTACAAGCAGTATACCTTTGCAAGTCCGACTTTGTAAACACTCACACATTTTTATTTTTTGTACCGTTTATATATGTACTTGATTATCTATGTACACCGTATTTCTAAATGATATACACAGTACGTTGTTTTCTTTTTTTCTTTGCATGACCTGTCAAAATAAATACATATAATTTAAAGCGAAAACTGTGTGATGACTTATTCATTATAAATTATGTAGGATAGGAAACTATTCTAGTTGTGTAAATTGAGAAAACTTGAATACCAACATCGAGTGATATCAGTTTATAAAAAACACATACCTAAATGCAATCATTTATATCCGTCATTTCATTCTATCTTCCTTTATTCTATCTACCTGTATAATAGTTTACCTGATTCGTATGCAAACATGTTTGTGAATCTGGTGTTAAATCAATGAAATGTTTTACCTTTCTAACAGCAAAATATGCATCACATATTGTGAGTAGAATACGATCGAATAGATGAATAATATTGGAAAATTGCTACAGAATTATAATATGTCATTATAACATTTGGCGTTTAAATATACTTTGTTTATATATACAATATTTTGTATATGAAATAATAATTTCATTTTTATTAGCAGGAAGGTATTTCAAAGGCATTATGCTTTTTTAATATGATCAAGACATGTACATGTATATACAACAACATATAAAACACAGGGGTTATTCCAAATCAAAATCAAAGAGGAAGAACCCTTATGAATATATCATGTTTTTAATACACGGACTTTTGATTTGCAAAATTCAGATTGCTATATAAGAAAAATGTCCCCTTTGTGTTCAAAACGTTGTTGGCTTGTGTCTCAGGTGGAGTGCCTTTTTTATTACGGCATTTCAAACTTGAATATTGAAACTTTTCTTTCTACTGTGACAGTCAATCAACAAATCAATTTCGTGTTTATACGATATTTAAAATATACTACATCAATTAACATATTGGGGTGTGTGTCAACTATGTGATGTATCAATGCTTTCAATTTTAAGATTATAAAATTGAATAGTATACCACTTATCGTTTTGGTCACTAAATAAATGCAGTTAACGACAACAATAAACATTTTTGGTGTATGTTAAATGTATACGGATTCAATATTTATTTCACAATCTCAAGCCTCAATTTTCAAATTGATACATCAAGTTAAAAGTTTAGAGAAATAACAGCAAATGGAAACCAAATAAGGGTTATCTGACAATGAGCGTCGTTATTCTTATCAGCATCCAGCTATGAGCACTTGATTAAATCACTTTTTGTGCTTTAAGGCGATCAAAATAAAGGAAATTCACTTTTTATCCCGCCTCCACCCCGAACTCCACTTCTTTTCTTTTCCTCCTCCCTTATTTTACATTTTCTGAAGAGGTTCAATAATTATTAAAGAAACATTTCTTTTTATTTGATCTTAATATCCTTTGTATTAGTTTTTCTTGAGCTATATCGATTTTATGTTATTATGTATGCAGCAAAACATTTTTCTATAGGCCAGACTATTTTCTAAGGCCATTTTCTAAAAATAACCTCTACATTTTAACACGATTTCAGAAACAGTATTATTAATTGTTGCTGTGTTCATTAATTTTTGCCATCAATTTTTCTGTTTATTCCGAATATTGTGATATTTTGTTGAATTGAAGATGTTATGTTTAAAAATAATTAACATCATTTACTGAATATTTATATTTAATTTAATCACATTTTGTGATTCCTTGTTTGTTGCAGCAATGAGCTCTAAGACAGTTTTAATTACGTATTTTAAAGGGCTTCGCTGATAAATTATGCATTTAAATTGGAAGTTGACATGATATTAATGAACGTATTTACAAAAGGCCAAGCACTATGTCCCAAATATTTATGCCTTATATGTCCATATATAATTGTACAAAAGTAGAACATGATATTCCGATTTAACATATTGACTAGAACATATTTTACATAATCTTTTGTTTATATCAATACCCGGGTAACGGCCCAATTCAATTTCCATTCTAAGTGATGCTGTTCTAAATCTGATGTTTTGTTTCTCTGTACATTATTTGTTCAAACATCTAAATATATTATAGGTAAAAGTTCAAGTTTCGATGTATTCTGAATTGACGATGTCCAGTTTTTATGTACTTGACAAATATTCTTTGCTTGAAAAACTTTTGTATGTTAAATGGTCGTAACTAATGAACTTTGCTGATGACACTGAATTGATGGCTGATAACGCATATATTTTTTAATTTATGCCGAATTTATTATCGAATTGGTGTACTCTACATGGAATGACCATAAATGTTGAAAAAGTAATGCTATTCACTTTAGAAACCCTCTATACCAAAATCAAATTTCACATTTACATGTGGTGATTCTGTGTGAGAAACTGTCAACCATTACATGTATTTAGGTCTATTGTTGAATGAATATCTGGATTACAATATTACAGCTTAACATGTAGCTCAAAGTGCAAGTCGCGCACCGTGTCTTCTTATCAAGGGTTTACATTTTAATGTTTAAACAAAATATAAATTTGTTAAACATGTATTGTACCTGTTATAACGTATTGAGATTCTATTTTGGGTTCCAAATCTTAAAGTTGTATTAATAGTATTCATAACAGAGCTATGAGGTATTTACTAGGCACGGGTAAATGCACTTGAAATGCTGTTGTATATAGTGAAACAGGTTTGAATAAAATTATTGTTGAACAATGGAAAGCAGTTGGTTACCACTGGCACAAAACAGTTTGTTTTAGAGAAAGTACAATGAATAAGAATGTTTTCAACTGGTCTATAAACAAAAATACAAAACGTGGTAAAAACTAGTGATTCATTGTTGAAAACACTTTGTTGTCATTAGGATTTGACGTTTATCAATGTGTGCATTTCCCTTTAGTCGCAAAAGGATGGTTGGTGATTTAACTAAAGCTTAATAGTGGATGTTCATATCGCTCAGTGTACAGCGGATATTTCCAGAGAAAGCAGAAGCAATGATTCTGGGAAAAATAAACAAATAAATTTCGTACATGTAGACTTTTTGAAAAAAGTGTATGCTACAGAAAAATATTGTTGTTTATTACTTCCTGTTTCTAACAGATTAAGCTTTGGCTAAATTCCGTTGTGGAGTCCCACCTATCAGTCTTGAAACTGGCCGATATGAACATTTACAAGGGCATGAAAGGATATGTCCACTTTATCTAGATGGTATTGAAAATGAAATGCATGTAATAATTGAATGTTCTATGTATGATATGGAAACCATTGTTAAGTTACGCTCACTATACTTGTGACTTGTTTACTATAATGACAAAACATGAAAAGTTTATGTACTTAATTGCCAACCAGGACACCCGTATGATAAGATTGCACGCAAAAACTTGCTTTGATATTCCTAAATCTAGAAATACATGTTGCATAGTAAAAATAACAAGAGCCATGTCAACATGGCCATCCCCCGCCGAGAGTGTTTGCTCATTGGAAGAATGTATATGTAGTAGAGCAGAATAATTCAATTTTTAGAGGTCTTTTGGCAATGAAAACTGATGGCTAAAGTGATTACAGATTTGAAACCTATGTGAATACTGATGGCTGAAAATAACAAAGGGCAATAACTGAAAAATAATGTAAGGTAGGTTATCATTCTTGTGTGCTGCACCCTCCTCAGTAAAATCTATCCACCTATGAAGTTTCAAGTTGATACCTTGATAAGCTCCGGACAAAATAGTATGAAAAAAAAAGGGCAATAACTCAAAAATTATATAAGGAAGAGTTATCGCACAGCATTCCTCCTCAATAAGATCTATCCACCTATGACATTTCATGTTGACGTCTCAAACACTTTTGAGTTATGCTCCACTCACGTGAAAAATTAAGTATGAAAAATAACAAAGGGCAATAACAAAAAAAATATGAGAAGTACAGTTATCATTCTTGTGCACTGCACACTTCCTGAGTAAGATCTATGCACCTATGAAGTTTCTTGTTGATATCTCAAAAGTTTTTTGAGTTAAGTTCTGGGCAAACATTAATTTTGAAAAATAACAAAGGGCAATAACTCTAAAATTATGCAGGGTAGAGTTATAATCCTTATGCACTGCTCTCCTCCTCAATAAGATCAATCCACCTATGAAGTTTTAAGTTGATACCTCAAATACTTTTTGAGATTAGCTCCGGACAAAATAGGATAAAAAAGAACAAAGGGCAATAACCCAAAAAATGTATAGGGAAGAGTTATCATTCTTGTACACAGCATTCCTCCTGAATAAGATCTATCCACCTATGACATTTCATGTTGACATCTCAAACACTTTTTGAGTTATGCTCCACTCAGGTGAAAAATTAAGTATGAAAAATAACAAAGGGCAATAACTAAAAATTATGAAAAGTAGAGTTATCATTCTTGTGCACTGCACACCTCCTAAGTAAGATAGATCTATGCACCTATGTTTATATCTCAAAAGCTTTTTGAGTTATGTTCTGGGCAAAAATTAATTTTGAAAAATAACAAAGGGCAATAACTCTAACATTATGCAGGGTAGAGTTATCATTCTTGTGCACTGCACTCCTCCTCAATAAGACTAATCCACCTATGAAGTTTCAAGTTGATACCTCAAATACTTTTTGAGATTAGCTCCGGACAAAATAGTATAAAAAAGAACAAAGGGCAATAACTCAAAAAATGTATAGAGAAGAGTTATCATTCTTGTACACATCATTCCTACTGAATAAGATCTATCCACCTATGACATTTCATGATGACATCTCAAACACTTTTTGAGTTATGCTCCATTCAGGTAAAAAATTAAGTATGAAAAATAACAAAGGGCAATAACTTAAAAATTATGAAAGATAGAGTTATCATTCTTATGCACTGCACACCTCCGGAGTGAGATCTATGCACCTGTGAAGTTTCATGTTCATATCTCAAAGGCTTTTTGAGTTATGCTCTGGACAAAAATTAATTTTGAAAAATAACAAAGGACAATAACTAAAAAATTATGCAAGGCAGAGTTATTGTTCTTGTGCACTGCACTCCTCCTCAATAAGGTCTATCAACCTATGAAGTTTCAAGTTGATATCTCAAATACTTTTTGAGATATGCTCCGGACAAAAATGTCGGACGGAAGGACGGACGGAGACTATTTCTATATCCCCCGCCGCCTTTTCGGCGGGAATAATAATTGAATTGTAACAGGTAGCTATTTTGTGACTATACAACAAGCACAATTTCTAGCAAGTTTTTAATGGTTTTAGTGTTTTAATACTAAGTACAACTTCAAATACTTGGTATTATTATTCGCTTTGTCAATAGGACTGATTAACTCATTTTGGTTAATTGTACAAGTAAAACACTTTAACTACATCTCCTTGTTTTTTACCGTTTAATATTTTACAAATTTCGTTTAACAATATATTTTTACAGGTTCTGTGGATAATTATTTTACTTTTGTTAACTACATATTGTACTTGATTTTAGTGACAAGTAGTTTCGTGTGTGAATGATCCTCTTGTCTCTTTCAAAAAACTTATATAGAATGGCTGTGTACATCTTTTATGACATTGTTATGAACTGTGTGTACATAGATGAGACTTAAATAAATAAATAAATAGATATATAAAAAATGTCTTCTTAAACAAAATCAATTTTCGGGCTTACTATATAGAATTAAAGTATCATACGTAGATATGTGTAAGGAATGTTAATAAATGCTCAGGGTCATTGTCACACATAAGAAAAACAAAATTCTCTAAACAATCTTGCAACATGTATTTTATGAGGTTTCAATATATCTGTAAAATGCATGTTACATCTTTAGAACAAGAAAAGCATAACAATCTTTTTACAACTCTTAAATTGAAGCACAAGAGGTTACTCCATTAAATTAAATTTATTGCCCCCGTAATAGGTAAATAGGGTCTGAGATCCATCCGTTATTTTACCTTACAATTTATTGTAATGTTATGATAAACAGAGGGGCATTTATGTCATACATAATTTTATAATATATGCAAAATACAGAAGATAAATATGCTATTGTGATTCAGTGTATTTCATTTCAACATAAACTGGATATAATATAATCAAACTGTAATATATAAGTAGTTAATTAAAAAATGTACTATCTATTTTCTATCATATCAACTAATAAGTACATAGAAATTTTTTACTTTTGTATAATTAACTATTGAAGATGCTAGCTTAAACTGCAGACTAGGTCTTGTATTGATGGTAATATCTCCCTCCTCTTACACAAGAATATATATCCTTTTAATTCTAATTGAAAATATTAAATTGACATTGGTCTCCTTCTTGATACCCTAAAATGAATGTCTTACAATCAACCCTCCAATCAACATTATGACTTTTTAACAGGTGTTATTAGATAATCTATCCCGACATCTCTTGCAAAGCTGTAATACAGATGAATTAATAACTATATGATTTTTCATGTTTATTTTTCAAAATAGATTTCTTCTAGTTTGAAGCCATTTGAGGTAATCATTAGTTTCAGAGTGAACCCATTCAAAAAGGTATTTCCACTCAGTATCATCAATGTTAAAATAAGTATTCCATTTTGATATACATGTAGGTATTTGACAATTATCAATAAATAAATTATATATGGTAGAGATTCCACTACTACATAAAGATATTTGTTTTATATAAAAGGGAATAGATGGCAATAATACATTGGTACATGTATTAGAATATTCTATTTTTAGAGACTTTTATGTACTTTCTAATAACACTATCAAACTTTCATAAACAATCAAAAAACAACAACCAGTTAATAAACGGGTCTATTTTGCTATTTTCATAATATCTATAAAGTCAATAAACGCTAACGAAACGTTTTTCCAAAAGTAATTGTACATTGATTTAGATTCAATTTCAACATAACATTTTCCACAGTTAAAATAAAAATGTTACTTACAAATGTGACAATCTAAAAGAAATGGTTTTGCCACTTATTGCCATTAACAGGGTTTCTAAAAAAAGTTGATCATCAATACTAAATTGTAAATCTTCATAACTGACATTTTTTAAACAGTGAATATTACACACAGGCAACAAATACTGCAATATTGCATCATCTATCTTATCATTAATACAAATTTAAATATTCTAAGTCACATAATAAAGTATTATTAAATTTCAATAAACCTTTCCATGTACAATATTTTGTAATTATGATCGTCCGCAAATAAGGCTAAAGTTTCGCGAACGTTTCAAAAGACGACGTTTTTGTACAGCAAAATATATTTCTGTTTAAGATGCTTTAGCACACACAATAATAATATAACAAATAATGACTATTACTTACAATGTGAAATTGAAGTCAAAAGGTTAATATACTAAAAGTAAATTACAAGGATTTTCTATGTAATGGTGTGTCTATTAGTTTTAGGAAATAATACATCCCCTTTTCGCTGATTTATTATGAAGTTGTCCTATTGTTTCTGTCAAGATTCTAGTGCTCATTTCTTGCTGCTTTAGCATGTTCTCAAATATCTTGTCCCTCTCTTTCTCAATATATTCATTTTTCTCACGTTCCATTGCTTCGCACTTTTCTTGAAATCTTTCCTCAAGCCGTTTTTCTAGATGTTCTAAATCGACAAAACGGAATTATCAAATTGTGTTGAAAACTGAACATTTATGAAATAAAAATTTATAAAATTGTTTTGAAAGATCTAAATTAATCTTTTTTTTATTTTAGCTTGACTGCGAAACGAGTTCTTGCAACATTAATCACTTCCGAGACCGCCTCCTAAAATTAACTAGTACCGGTGCTACATGAGTATCTCGTGACCGTGTAGGGGTCGAACCCACGATCCATGGGTTTAGAGGCCGACACCTTAACCACTAGGCTACCGCTCCCTTTATGGCATTTATTCTACTAACATGATAAAAATGATTATTGTTACGGTATCAAACACATTCATTTCATACCTCGTTGTTTAAGAAGTGTGCGTTCACCTTCTTTGCGGCTCAACTCTGCTTTGATTCCTTTCTTTGAATCCTTATAATCCTCAATAGGGTCAATCAGCTTTCATTGGTAAAAATAAATTTTATAATCACATTCAATCTAATGTTCGAAGAACTGTTCACTACACACGCATACACATTCAAACTGAATAAGACGTATATACTTGCCAAAAAAGTTAAGTTACAATTTTAAATGACAATTTTTATCTTTATTCGACGCTTGTTTGGAAATATTTTCATGAAATTTCTTAGAAATGCCTGAAAATGAGCAATAATTTAATTTGAATCCACAATTAAAAAAGATGAATTTTGTAATGTATTTGAAAATGCAAGTTCATTTTTGAATGCCTGTATATTATGTTTGTATATGAAAATCATCCAAGAACAAGTTTACGTTTTTCAAATACCTCATCTTTGTCATAGCCATTCATTTGCTCATAAAACATCTTTTCTACATGACGAATATCATCTTTAAAACGTTGATACATCCCATCTCGGTTGTAAAATTCCTCATCTTTCATCAAATCTGTGTCTAGTTTTCTTAAAAGTGTTTTACATCTCTTCGTTATACAAACTGAGTTTTCCAGCCGTAAATCTTTCCATTGTTCAATCATTTTTTCCTGCAATATGTTAATTTACACACATATCATTGAACCAAATTGTCATTATGGTCAGATATATTTAGGCTTATTTTCTTGTCATTTAACTACAGTACACTACATTTAGCCTTTTTAAATATTTTTAATTATCATTATGATCAGACAAAAATCCTCAGACAAAATAATTTTGCCATTTTTAGTGCAAGTTGTTGCAGGTTGACTACAAGTGGTTCAAACCATTGCCCAAATAAAATTTAAAATTGAGGCTAAATGGCAGGTTGTGCTTAACTTATTTCTAGGTGTTTATTTAATTTTGAGTTTTCTAAATCAATAATTTTGATTTTTTATGTTTCAAAGAAGCAATTTAACTAATCGTTTTTACCTTTACAGAATATAATTTTATTTATTAAATGTCGTATACATCTGTGTTAAGAATATATTGTTTTTTATGACATTATATTCTGTCGATTTTATATTAGTTTAAGTTACTGTGTACAACGTCATTGAATTTATTTATAAACTTTGGCGTTTAATCAAATAAACTAGTTTCTAGTTTCAAGTTTTAACACTAACATGCTGGCATCAATATTCCTGAAAGCATATTTAAAAGATTAAAATAGATATAATACAGAAGTGAGATCCAGTGAAACATTTTACAGCTGTCACACGGCGCTTGGACATTTGTTATACTGAAGTTTGAAAAAACTGAAAAAGGGATGAACACACACAAGCACGCGCACACGCACTGACAAATTAAAGTTGTTAATATTGAGTCCTTAATCATCCTAAAAAATATAGCACACGTGAAAATGTGGACTCAGTATGATTCAACAAAGTCATGGAGGCAGAAAAAATGCAAGATTTGATAAGGCTCCAAGCTTTGGCAAAGATAAATTCGACACTTTAATAACAAGATAGAAAATATTTATGTATCCGAAAATTTTAAGTTATGGTGATTATGTAAATTTCACTATGACACTTTTGTGTAATGCTCTATTAACGATATATGTCCAAACATGAACATGTTTATGCTTTAAACGGGGAAAAAAGTCGCGACAACTAAATGAAGTGTAATTCAGGGTGCAAGTCTAATTACATAACATTTGCGTACCATAACTAGCTGTCAAAACAAATAATAACAGCAACCCTGACTGATGTTATTATAAAATATTCGTGTAGGTATATTTGATTTTAAAGAAATAAAGAATAAAACACCAGAAACATGAAAAGTATGTCGTAAATAATCTTTTTACCTGAAGCTTTGCCTCAAGACAATCAGAACCGTATGGGTAAGCATCCTTTCTGTACAATCGAATCATTTCGTCTTGAAGTTGAAAGAATTTTGTTTGGAGGACTTCTTTTAGAGGTATCGGCAATGGTATAAAAGTGATCTCATTTCTCAACCATCGTAAAACGCTCGTGTACACCTTTTCATTGTGCTTTATCGACGCACTGATTACCGCTTCTTCTAAATTCATAGGTATTCCTGTATTAAGCTCGCTTACATACGTTGTCATCAGTGAAATAAAGTCTGTTTTAATAAAAAGAAAAGTTAAAACAGCACGTTTTAGAAGTAACATACGCAAATAATAGTGACGATGTACTTTTCTTTGTTTTTGTATTTTACATACTAAAACAGATTCTTTATATTAATATTTCCCGGTGTATGATACATATCAATTACACTATTTTAGTGATTAAAAACCCACATTTGAACGATAACAAACATGAAAGTTAATACAATAAAGCACATCCTTCTATTAGGATATAAAGTCATTTACATAGACGTATCGTTATGACATAAAATTATGTCTTTAAAGTATGTAAAAATACAAATAAAGGATCCAGTTTTAGTGAAAACATGCAAATACGCACGCTCCTTGTATCAAATTCACAACTTTTAAATTGTATTTTGCATATCAGAATTGAAATATTTTTAAGATAAATTTTCACATTTCTAAGTTGACAAAGTGTTCATAATAATGGATTGACTTACAGAATGACAGAAAACACAATGTCAATAGTCCCCTTTCGAATTGTTAATATCGGCCCATATATTATATTCAGTTAACATAATTGACCTTTTACATAGTAAATAACATTAGCTTTAACCTGCTCTATTTTACAAAATATTCAACTATGGAAAAGCAAAAGACCGACCGCTAACTTCACAAAAGGGAAGCCAGGAAGAACACATTAAAATTGTTTCCTGGAATATTTACAGATGTAGCCGTAAGGAACATGATACAGATTACGAGTGTTTTTATCTTCAAAACAATAATACTCTAAATAAATGTTAAAATTTTACTACAGGAAACTGTTACACATAACATAATTCATAAAGTCAAGTATGGATAGTGTGGAATAAAATTTGTTTTACCTACTTAGTCCTTTTGATATTGATATTTTAATTAATTAAATATTGATACATATAATCCTTTTGGTAAAATATTTTTTTATGTGATTTAAATGCAAGGACCTACATTATCTGATGTTTTGGAAAAAAAAAACAATTATTTACTTAATTAAATTGGTCGGACAAACTAAGTCTTAAATTAGTAGACTACCAAAATGTTGATCACGTTGAACAACTCGTCTTAAAAAATATTTCGGATTTTTGTATTTATGATTTTTTTAGCACTGTCTGTTTAATGATAATTACAGTAATCATGTGAGTAAATTCAAAGTTATGATTACAAACAATTATGCTTAAATGAAAAAAAGCAACAACAATTTAAATATGATGCCAATCCCTTCAGTAACGGAAACGCAAAATTTATAACTGTTTTTAAAGTAAAATTATAAGTTCAAAGATTAAACAATTCATGAAATAAACATGCCAGATTAATGAACACTGTCTTGCATGATGTGAGTAATGACAAAGAACATTTTTCTTAAGGCTAGAGTAGATACCATTTATAATAACAAAGATAATACTTAAAAAATATAACAATTTTCCAATTCCAAGTTCAAAAAATAATATGGGGGAAATCATGGTATTAATGTAGCTAGATATACAAAGTATGTCACAAATCCCTTAAATAAAGAAGTTATACACGAATAAGGAAATTTTTTTTGTTTCAGTGGAAGATAATTCTAAAAATATTGATGCAACAGTTATGAACCTAGTCATATTATTATTAAATGGAAGTTGGTTTGAAAATTGAAAATTTGAATATAAAATTTGAAGTTAGAGCAAATGATAATAAGTTTTAGAAAAAAATCTTAGTTTATGAGAGGAATAATTCTGGAAATATTCATGCAACAGTTATTGATCTTGCTACACATGGGTGATGATTATAAGTAAGAAAAAATTGAAGTTTGAAGTGATATCTTAAAAAGTGAAGAAGAAATAGTAAAAAAAAGCATTTTAACATGAATCATAAGCTAGAGATAATAATTATGAAACAAATATGAGTTTAGTTATAAATCTTGTCACACAAGATGTGGATGATGATAAGGATAATATTTGAAGTTTGAAAGAGAAACCTAAAAATAAATAAATAAATAAATAAATAAATAAATAAATCTTAGTAAAAAAGTAGCATTTTTAAAAAAGCATCTTAGTTCATGGGGAGATAATTCTTGAAATATTTATGCTAGTTATGAATCATTTGGTCGATGATTAAGAGCAAATATTTAAAATTGAAAATTTATCCCTTTATGAAGAAAGGGTTAGAGAAAAAACTAAAATTTTTAAGGACAAATCTAAGTTCAAGGGGAGATAATTCTAAAAATATTGTGGTTGATGATAAGGAAAATAAATTTGAAGTTTGACGTTGATACCGTAAGAAATCAAAATGCTATAGTAAAAAGTATTTTAATGCAAAAAATAATCTAAGATTTGGAGGCGTGTGTAGACGCCAACATGGACGCCAGGGGAAATAGGACAGCTCTACATATACTTCGTTTCAACGAGCTAAAAGAGCTAAAAATGACCTCAGAAGCTTTCGATGATGTTGAAATAGTTTGACTGTCAGAAGGTTCTGAACACACAAAAGTTAATCATTCTTCGATTTAAGTTTTCATGCGTCAGAAATATCTCGATGGTCATCTGCTTTTATTATATCTTAAAATAAAATGTAATGTTTTACTTTTGAAAATGATATGTAATTTGATAAGAATAAAAATCATCAAAAATATTATTAACTGTATTTCAAACACATACTGACGTATCCAAAATGTGGTTTTCTTATAACTCTAATTTTTTTAAGCAAGGATCAAAGACGCCAACACAACATACGCTGACTCTTTTAATTGGAGAAGTCTTTAGACATCCCCACAGTGTTATAAACGATTGCTGGCGGCATCCATTTTTGTGTAACAAATTGAAGTAAATGCATCCGTTTACAGTAAATGATTAGAACCAGTCTACAAATATTGTTATGGGCATGCTCCGCTCCAAAATACGAGTTTACTTAAACGAAAAAATTAACATCGAGGTAGACGATTCGATAAGAAGGAAAAATCGGAAGATATCGTTTACAGTTACGTTACATTAAACACTACGAACCGTTAAACACTGCGAACAGTGGTTCATTCGGATTATAATCCTTTACACTGTATAAACTGATAAATAGCGATTTCAAAAAAAAAATTACATTAAAATTATTACAGCTACAATATTATGTTCTTCTACAAGAAGTATTGTTTTTAGAATGGTATATCCGGCCAACATATTTTAGGCTGATTATCTTATACTCCAATCGAGTTATTAACGGTCTGTGTCATTGGTACAGCTCATTTTTTCTTAGATATGATCATTCCTCGTTCCAAATTAGGTAAGATTACGCAGCTAAATGTCGCGTAGAATCAGCTTTCCCAGGCATAGTACTATTTTTACCCCTTCAGCTTCTCTAATGTTGTTGACAAAATATAAGTTTGCTTCTTTAATTGCAATTCGACCTATCAGGAGTTCTTAATTATTTTCGAGTCATTTAAACAATTAAACAAATCTATAACAGCCGCAAAAGACCTCTCGCATGCTTCTTTTATTCGTACTTAAACTTTGTGCTTCAATGACCGGACATCACAGGCCGGATATGACCTTAGGTGATTTTTCTTTTAAAATAAAGTAACAAAAGGTTGATACATATCATTCTTACCGTAAAAGTTGATTTTAGATTGTTTTAATTTGTTACTGTGTTAGAAAGAGCTTGAAATGTTTGATATTTAATACTCTGTTTAATACTTTTTTTTTTTTTTTTATAAGATAGGAAGGAATTTGTCGTATTTTACTGTTTACACATCATATTAATATAAATGACAAGTCAACATGTATATACATATATTAAGGTTTTTATTTCATAATGTGAACTGTGGAACATGACATTGATTTATATGTATTATAGTACAAGATACATACAGACTGGGCTTAATAGTAATAGTATGTCAAAATGATAGTTAACGTATTTGGGAGTCGGCTAGATTTCATAACATTTTATGTGAAAGCTGTCATTATACATATTGGGCTAGAGATTCAGTCTAGCAGTTCGAATTTGGTATTTCACTTGTACACTTATGTATTTGTATATTAAAAGTATGAAACATCTGTGAGTTCTCTCTCCGTTAGACGACATATAATCATTTTCTATTTTGTCATTACACGATGCAAAGATTTAAAAAAGGGCTTATGAAACACGGACCTATTCTCAAATAAGAGCAGGAGATCTTTACCTTGACACGGGAACGAGAACGAAAACTTCATAATGTTACTACAAATTACTCTTTAAAGGTAAAAACTCATAAATTAATGTAGCAATGAATGGTTTTCAGTAATTCTTTAACAGATTGAACAAAAATTATTTTATAATTTGATGCTTGGTGATGTACTATGTCAGATCACGGTCAGTAGATAATCTAATCACGTGACTCAGCCGAGACATCTTCATTCGTAAAATCGGCCTGTTTCCATACCATTAATTTTTTAATCAAAGCGACTTATAAGAAAATACAAATATAAAATGGGACGCATCTACAATTCAAAATCAAAATCAATTAAGACTGAATCAGGATGAGAATGCCACTTGACAATTAGAATCAAGTATAAAGAACTTAGAAATTAATGTAAATATTGTTTTGTTATTTTGTAATTTTTGGCATTTTTTCATAGTTATGCGACAGATAAATTTTTTGGATATGTTAAACGAATGAAACAAAATTTCTTTCTAACAGCTAAAATAATTATTTTTGGGTCAAAAAGACGGTAAAGCAAAAGATTTTAACTTTGCAAAAACATAGAATATTTCATATATTGCAAGAAAAAATTCAAAGGAATTTTGGTCAAATGATATGAGGGGTGTTCATTTAATACGCGGAAAAGTGCCGTAATATTTTTAATACTCATGGGAAATTTACATTCTGTCCATGTTGTAAATAAACATAAGGTAATTTATACACAAAATTTCAATAAAATCGGATAAAACTTAAATACAAAGTTACATGTATTTCTAAGTAAATTCCAGTTAAAAAGATGTCACGTATGTGCGAGAATCACTAGTCGTTATCGAAATATTCCACGGGAAAGGAAACACATTTTTTTACAACGGTAGACCAATAACAGGAAACTGGTAAAGTATGAATGGCCATTTATCTCCGAAATCGCACACACAGCTTGTTCACGTCATTGAAGTGTTCTCCCCTTAGAACGTTCTTCAGTTTCGGGAACAGAGAGAAATCGCAAAGTGTGAGGTTGGGGCTGTAGGCCGGGTGTTCGAGTACTTCGAAGCCGAGTTTCCTGATTGTGTCCCGTGTTTTTGGAATAAATGGAATATGATGTCGGCAATTATCGTTACCCGCTTCGTTATCCGCTTCTTTCTCATTGGCCTCATAGAATCGCGTCTCAGAACCTGGATGCATAAAGGAATGCAATCATAAGTAAATTGTTGTAATGGTTTCTTTTCATAATTACTTACACAAATAATTATAAATAATTATTAGGTTATGACTTTAGAATATTGTATTATAGATCTGATAAATTTATTCACCTTAGGATAATACTAGTACTTCGCCGTCACCGTCTGACCCAGGGGTACCGCATGGCTCAGTATCACGCCGTCGACGTCAAAGAAGACGATAAACATACGATGAACATCTTTTTCTTTGTCATCGGCCAACTTTAAACTTCTTAAGTGAAGGCAATATCAAGATTTTCTACATAGAAGTCTGTAATTTCATTTCAGGGGCGTTTTGGCTAATCCATGATTTATCAAGAGTCAGTATCCGTAGCAAGAAATGTTCCCCTTCCCCTTTAAATCGTCTGAGAAACTTTTCTCAACACCGCATCTTTCTAATTTTTGTTCGTCCGTCAGCATTTTTGGAATTTATCTGGCATACATGCGTCTCGTATTCAGCTCTTCGTGTATAATGCGGTGTATCATGCCGATACTAAAATCTGATTTTGTGTTTTTGGCGAATTGTAATGCGACGATCATTGTCGAGCACCTCCTTCATCACAGTGTCGTTACAATATTGGGACTTTTATTGCGCTTGTCGTCATAGATGTTTTGCTTGCGGTCTCGAAATCAGGCATACCACTTGTACATAGCCGTTTTCTTCATCGCCTGATCACTTATGTCTTTTGTAACCTTAGCATTGTTTTTTTGTTCAAAAACTTAAAATTTTATTGACGATTGTTGTTTTTCAATATTGTTTAACGCATACGCATTAAACAATATGGCCGCTTCAGGGATAAATGACGTCATACAACATAACATGACGTCAAGTACGTAAAAGCAATCACATTGCGCGTTTATCACGTAAAGTTTGGTGAGAACTGCACGATAAACGTTAGAATACGACGTCAATATATAACAGCGACTATTTGTAACAAGGTAGTCTGAGAAACAGCTAATCCCCTTCCGCAGCGGACATGAATGTGTACGTTTTGACTTTTAAACAATTACAAGTACATAGAATCATGATAGTAAATATGTGTGCCAAAATATTTACAATCTTTAATAAAGTCAAAAAGATATGGCTAAAATTACATTAAACATTGACCTTGGAGGAAGCAACCTGGATGTTGGGTTCTGCACATCGTGCCATAATGGTGACCTTGGGGTAGCAACACAATTATCGTGCTCTGCACATCGTCTCATAATATTGATCATTTGTGCAAAGTTATTTAAATTTGCCATAGCAACAAACGTTTTGAACAAAGGAAGAAAGAAAAAAGACGTGCATAATCTCAAGACTGCCATCTATCCATATTTCAAGTACTTTTTGCGTTGTCGCGGGATCCTATTTTGTGGACGGACGGACAGACTGACAGACGGACGTTCTAACGGGACAGTAATAATGTGGCTACTTTATTGTTCTTTTTAGCCGCATAAACGAAAATAGCCACTTAAAAGCATTAAGGAATGAACGACATCAAAAAGTATTGTCCCTCTAGCAACATTATAACTGTCCCGTTAGAGCAAACAGACAGACGAACGGACAGACAGACAAACGGACGAAGGGTAAACCTAGAGTATCTTCCGGTTAAACGGGTAGGTGACTAAAATTCGCAACAACAACAAAAACAAATATATCAGTAACAAAAGATAAGAAACTTTAATATAAAACAACCAAGTTGGCTTTGATTCCAAAAAGGGAAATCCACTACATATTGCGTTTTTTTGTTTCACTTCATTTATGCAAAAACTTTTAATACCAAACAAATTTTTATAGCGGCGTGATTATGATTTTTTGTCTGTATTGAAAGAAGTTTCTTAGGTAAAAAATTATAAGTTATCAAGTCAGTTCGAAATATGTGGTGTAGCTTTATTCCATTGCTTTTTAAAATCAAACACATATTTGAAATAGCGAAATACCAGCAGTTGGACTTGGACACTAAATTCAAAATTATGATAACTAAATTAAGATTATTTTAGCCATTGAAACTGGACGATGAAACTTTACTGACCGACAACAACGATAGTGTACTCAGTGTAATATGAATATGTTTAAAGATCATTTACTTGTTTGTCTTAAATATAGGTAGTTAAGAATCAAAACTTTCATTCCGTATCTTTTATAGAGGGCTATAAATTCAAAAGTGTGCTACTTATATGTCAACAGATTCTATAAAATCTTTTTACAAATTAGCTTGATTTTTTTATTTAGCTTTCTGAAAAAGATATATATAATAAACAACTTAAAATTTGTTTAATCTTAATCGTTGAATTTTTGGTATGTTCCTCTATACATGTATATATTTATATGACCAAAGTATGGTTTTTATCTCATGCCGATACAATTTTCTGTTCTGTTTTGTTATGTTAGCAAATACCTTTTGGTGACATTCTTATTATAATCAACTATTCTGATAATTAGAATAAGGCAGGTAAGGGATCTATGCTTTTATGCGTTAACCATCTATCTGTAACAAAAACATCGCATGTGATTAAATAATGAAATAAACTTGTTCTTGTGTTTTTTTGTTTTTAAAATAATAATTTTTGTTCGTCATTGTATTATTATTGTGGTATTATCATTCATTACACTTCTTGAGTTACCTAATCCATCTATTGGTCTATTGGATACGACATGCTTTGCACCGCAACGTTCAATGTAATCCTTCAATTTCTTGACATCACTTATGAACGTCTTGCTGAGCTCCGAATCATTTGTTTCGCTCAACTGTCGAAGAGTTTTCCCCATGGCTGGTTGTTCAATAGTAAAGCATCTTCGTCGTGGAAAATACTGTTTTATGCATTCTGCAATCTCGTTGTTTTCACCGACTGACAAACAGTCTTCAAAGTATTCATCAGCGGTTTTGTCCATCTCGAGAAAGTGATCTCTCAAGCATAAAACGAATATTGGAGAAACGTACATTAATACTGCTTTATCAACTGCTTTATCTTTTTCGGTATCACCAAATGCTTTGATATTATCTGACAACTGTGCTATAAATCTCGCGACTTGTTAAGAAATTTTTTTTTCTAAAATTATCATAAAATGACTACAAACTCAAAAAGGTTAAAGTTTTTAGATATCAAATACAAAAAAAATTAATAAGGCATGCTTGTGTTGATACTTATCCTCATTATCATCAAGTTCGGTACCGTTTTATCTAAATACATTTAGAATGACCAATATCTCAAGTGGACAAAGTACCTAAACTTCTGCACTATTCCTTACTGTTAGTTTTTTTTAAATGTTAAGTGATATTGGAGGCATTCTTCTTTAAAGAACGTTTTTTTTTAATATTTATTTCATGTACAGCTAGCTTCCAAGTAGCACAATATTCTTTACATTAAAAAACGTTTTGTAATTTGTATTTCATTTTAACTGTTAGCTAAAATTACGATATTATCTGTAGTATATAAACTAAGATAAACAATTTCAAAAATGTCTCTATATCACCTTGTTCCAATATTACACGGAAATAAATTGAATTGAATCTGATTTAACACATGATTTAATATTATTATACATGTTTTCAATAAAGTTAACACATTTAACATTAATGATATAATTAATATAATTACCAAATTGATTGAAAGATCATTTCGTCAAACAGTACCAAAAGCTCGTCGAATAAAGCAAAAATAATTTATTTCTGTAATTATTATTATTATTATTATTATTATTCAATCAAATTTTTAAGAATGAACATAAAGTCTTGAGTTGAAAAAACCTTAACGAAAAACAGCCTGAGAAGTTTGTGATAGATTCGCCTAATTTGTCAATTGTTTTAGTTTATTAGTTTATTTAAGTCTCATCCATTACATGTACATATAATACAAATATACATTGAATAAAACTTAAAATACATGTAAATGGTCATTCTTATAAAGAATTATAAGAGACTATGTGTATGTTGTTACAAACATGTTACAAGTATTATAAAATACAATCCACATTTAAAAGGTTAGATCAGATTAAATCTTACACAGATAGGTATTTTACATAGTCATATATGAGCAGTCCAGTAAGATCAAATAAAATACATATCTGAGTAGTTGTTTGACTGATAATATTACTTAACTTTTAGATAAGAACTTTAATTTGTTGCAATACTGTAAAACAGCTAAGATGTTGAATTCTTTACACTTTAAAATATCTTTAAAACAGCTTAGATCTTAAATTCTTTAAAAAAAGTGATATCACTAAAAAGGCCTTTTTTGAGACAATTTTCATTAATAAAAAAGTCTTAAAACCATATAAAACTATATATATATATACCTAATCATAATACAAGCATTTTGCACGTTTTTCTAAAATAAGGTAGCAGGATTTTGCAACAATACTATCATTGGAAAGTAAAAAATACGCTTGCTAACATCATTTAACATAGGAAACCCATTATTAATATACGTTGCTTTGTCTAACAAATTTTGTCTGATATCTACATATTGTGGACATTTCAAAAGAACATGAATTATTTTCTACTTCTGTGTTACACAATAGACATATTCTATCATTGACTGCTAGTCTTTCATAGCGACCAGTTTCTAGTCTAATTGGAGCGACTCCACACCGAAATTTTGCAAGTGCTGATCTATGCTTATATGGAAGCAGTACTTTGATATAGTTCTCAGTTTCAAACTCAAATTTGAAATTTCTGTATGTTCTCAATTTATTACCTCCTGACCCATGCAAACTATATAACCCATGTAAAGATTCAACCCAATTATCTAGATACTGGTTGAAATAGTTTACTTGCAATTTCTCGAATTTCTCTAATAAAGTCTGCTTATATAAATGTACATTTTCTACATCAATATATTCACTACAGTGATATTTTTTGAACAACTCGTTTACTGTAAAATACCAGTTATTACAATGCATACAAGATAAATATTTACAATGATTGTACACCATTTTATTTATTCTTCTGTCTAGCATTTTTGAAAATCTACAACACAAGTTCACGACACATTTTAGTTGTCTAGAAAAAGTTGGCTCCTAGTCTATGTCACCTGCAACAGCAAGGTTAGGTGTTTTTTTACCAGTTCCCATGAAAAAACGCATGGCCCTGTTTTGTATTGCATCTATACAACTGAACTGTCTAGTGCCCCAAATGCCTGCACCATATGCAATGACTGGCCGAATAATTTTATGTAAACATGAAATGGCATACCACCTATTGCCTTGAATTTTGAGTAAGTAATCCTAAAGGCCTTCCTGCTGATTGTGACACAAACTTAGCAGTCACTTTATAATCTAAAAATTCATTAAGCGTCAGACCAAGATATACTTTCGAGTTTATTGAAGTACCTCATCATTGCATTTAAAAACAAACTGAGATTTTTGCATAGACTTGTCCTAAAGTGTACAACATTACTTTTGGTCATATTGATTAAAAAAATCAAACATTCATCCGTCCACTAATTGAGCGATGTGACGTGACAACTACTAATGTGTGTGAAACAGGTGTAAACGTTCTCGGTCATTACCGTTTCAAAGGTTAATAGCAATGAACAAGTGTTAAACAAACAAGAACCAACGGGATAGGTGTACGCTTCCAAAGAATCTTTTTCTTATTTTCTTTAATTTTTTTCGAATTCATGTATTCGTTTTCAGTTTTTTCGTAGCTGATTTTTTGGAAGTGTTTATTTTAAAATAAAATTTCTGACCCTAGATTTTGACAAAAATGTACAATTTTTTTTGTTACATAAGGAATTTGGATAATTTTCCATAAAAGGATACGTTAGTTTCTGCATATCATCTGCATTGAAAACATCCTTTGCATTGTATATTAATGTACTACTCATCAGGACAGCTAGGCTGAAGATTCTGTTGTCATGGTCACTGTTTCCCTACAAAACGAAACTGATTTGAAAAAAATACAGTTACAACCCTTACAACAACAGTTGTTTTTACGTCTTAAATGAAAGAAAAGTCCTAATTTGTCTTTATCAATCAAATAGAGAACAACAAAATCCCTAAAAAAAGCTCAACACGGCAAAATTGTAAAATGTTGCATGTTCGGTTTGATTGAGCCTGTTCATGGACGGTACTGGAAAGTGCAAGTTACCGTCCACGCCCCTTAGCACCGGCTTAAGCAGAATTCAACATTTAAACACAAAAATGGTGAAATTGTGAATTTAGAAACATCCGCGGATGTGTTCATACGGCGGTTATCATGGAACCTTCAATGTGACACAGTAGTCAAAAGACACATTTAAAAACCGAGTCTGCAATTTTCTTGTAATTTTGTTGTGATTAATGCTTCCGAGGGATCTCACTTTTTTTCTAGATTTTTTTTAACTTTAATACCATATGTTCACGTACATGTAACTGATGTCATAGACTGTAAAACAAACCAAATAAACAGAGTTTTAAGAAAGCAATGATATATCACTTTAACAGTAATTCACTTAGAACACGAAGTTTTGTGCGAATGCATAAACTTGTTTTTCTCAAACTATTGCAAAAAAATAAATTTAAAGATTAAATGCAGTACATAATATTACTTTTAATTGTTTATATCAATTTGATTTGATTTTGTTTACTTTATTGATTCTGTTTTCATGTTATTACATTTGTAAATTATGTTCTGTTTCATTCCAAATAAAGCATGTGTTCTGTTCAGTAATACACAAATTGCTCTACCTTTTTTACATCTGCTAGACCTTCTGTGTCCAAGTACATTATGACTTGTTGATCGACTAAAGGGTGTATGCAGCAAAATGCCCATATTCCTTTCGTGTGAGATTGTACAGAATTTCCAAGTGAAAAGCCTGAAATTGAAAAAATATTGCCACCGTGATAATTAAAGTGATAAATAATCAAGTATGGATGATTTCTTTAAAGATATTTTCCAATTTTAAGATAACTTCCATTATGTATACTCAATGCTTATATCAGTAGCTTGATAGTTCAAATAACTTGAACATCGCTTAACGGAAATGCTGAAGGCTTGGTTAATAAAAGCATGTTAATAGATAAACTTAGGTTAATGCATGTCACCGTACATAACCTAGCAACAGGTAAAGTACATACCTATTTTAACCCAGTAAATTAGTATCTTATTATTTTTTAATTGGGTTTTACGTCACATCGACATAGTATAGGTCAGATCGTGACGTACCAGCTTCACTGGTGGAGGAAGACCTCTAGTGCCTTTCCGTGCATTATTTCAGGCACGAACGGGCACCTGAGTAAAACCACCGACGTTCCGTAAGTTTCCTGGATGAAAAAATCCAAAGTCCCTGTCGGGATTCGAACCCACAGCGGTGAGGGGCAAGTGGTTTGAAGTAAACGACCTTAACCACTTGGCCACGGACGCTCCAGTATTTAATTTAGAATCTAGTTATTTTGAAACCATCTGTATATGTGTCCACACGGCGAAATCATTTAATGCGACAAATTTTAAACATGATGAGCTGCGTATGGTCATAAAGTATGATATAATAAAGGAATTTATTGATTAAAATAGAAAAAAAGGTCCTTATAGAACGCCTAAAACAGCAAAATATTGAAAATATTGCAGACTCAATTTGATTGAGCCTGTTTTTTGACCAGTACTGGAAACTGGAAGAACCCATCAACCTAGGTCCTGCTTAAGCAGAATTCAACATTTAAGCATAAAAATGATGAAATGTTGCAGAAACAATAATCTATTAACGTAAATGTGTTCATACATCTAATTTCAGGATAAAACCTAATTGTTTATTCCGCACAATGCAAGACTAAAACCTTAATGTTTTATTTCATGCACATTTCCAGACTTAAACAAGAATTTTGTAATCTCGTTCAAACATTAACTTCCAGACAAGAACCTGAGAATTTATTACGCATTATAAGTTTTAGGTTACAACCTTTGTTTGAATGCCAAGGCAACATCGCGGATACGCTCATAAGAACCTTTGAAATAATTGTTCTAGAAACGGATTACATTTTCCTGCTCCCACTATAGAGGGTGCATTTAGATTTACCCTTGTTATTCTGTCCGCCCGTTCTCATGTTGTGTCGCACGTAGGTCAAAAAGTTATTGACAAATAGTCATGAAACTTGACAGGCACTCGTATATTGGCCAGTATGTTCATTTGGGATCCTGGGTGTTTGCGTTTTGATTTATTCGTTTATTTATTTATTTACTGTAGAGTTATTGCCCTTGACTTAGTAAAATTTACAATTTTCAACTAGCGTCGCACGCAGCTCAAACATATGGGACATATAGTCATGAAACTTTACACAAATGCTGATCAGCATTTGTAGTTGTGCACCTTGGTGTTTGAGTGAAGATATGTCTCTGACTTAGTAAATATTTGCAATTTTACATTTTTATCGCACGTAGCTCAAAAAGTATTTAACATATGGTCATTAAACTTTACAGAAATGTTGCTCGGGATGTGAAGTTGTGTACCTGGTGGTTCGGTTGTGGATTTATTTTTTGTTGTCATATTTTATTCATATTTAATAACTTGAGCATCAATTTTGTCCAGGTTTGTAAAAGTATGATTGTACAAAGACTCCAAAAACTAAACGGACCTGTATCACGTCATGTTGGTTTAAACTTTATTTAGTCAATAAAGTGTACATTAAACAACATTTACAAACATTTCACAGCAAAGTAAGACAATCAACAATACAGACCAACAAGGTAAAGGTAACGTTCACAGGAGTAATTCAGACTGGATTGGAAAACAAGTAAAACGAGAAAAGGAAAATTTTCAAATAATGATACAAAAATGTTGCAGTTACATGTAAGTTCCTTGAATGTACAACTAAAGTAACTCATGGAGAAAGGTTGGCATAAAAGAAGATTTATAAGGAGAAATATAATATGATTAAATGTATATGAATACCTAAGATAAACATGTTAAGGAATATGAGCGTCCTGAGAGGCCAATTCACACTGATATTATTTCTTACAAAATCGCTCCGATTGAGAAATTAATCAATTTTTGGACATCTTGAAAAAGGATTTTGTAATCATGAAAAGAGAACCTAGTTAACTTGAAGAAAGTTATTTACTGTAGCTATCCATAATAGACATCCGGAACAAATCCTCATTCAATGATACGTGTGCCTGTATTATAATAAGACTGTGGTGTTTTGATAATCTGACTTGAACGAGCTTACAGTTGTACTAGATCTGAGTGTTTCAGGAAGAGAATTCCAGGTACAAATGGTAGAGGGTAGAGGGTAGAAATGATTTTGAGTATTTTGTTCTGGTTGGAATTGGAGTTAAGTCAATATTGTCTGAGGTTATATGTACTTTGTTGGGTAGAAGTTAGAAGATTTAAAACATAAGAATATGATATGTGGTTTGTCATTTTATACAATAAGATTAATGTGTGTTTGTTTCTTCTACTTTCTAGCGATTCTCATTTCCCGTGTGATACGACCTGAGCTGTTGCTTGTAAATTTATACCTGATAGTTGTATGTGACGGTTTAGACAATTTCCTTGGAAAAATAACTGATTTTGTTTTAGAATCTAGTTGAATTAAAAGCCAAGTATTTGACCAAAAATGCATCCGAGATTTAGAAGATTCATTCTATTTTAAAATATATATACAATTTTTTTTTGGTATTTTAACATTGGTAAAATCCCTTTGCGAACCGAAATGCAAATACAATGTATACAAGTACAAATATTACTGCAATGCAGCAATTGAGAAGCTCCGCGCAAAAATGCGCTCATTACAGATACATTACCAAATTATCGCTGCGCACAGGTCATTTTCTATTTAGATTAAGGACTAGTGTACATTATTCCGGGTGTTTTGTAAATAATTTAGATTTGCATAATTATACTTATCGTATGCACTGTCCAGAGAGGGGCCAGATATTAAATTTAAAAACATGCTTTCACTGATGCCTACCTAGTAAGGAAAGTAATTCCAATACAAACAAGACTTATAAGACTTGTAAATGTAATGTGACATGGCAACATTGTTCAGTTTGTTGCAATACTGTAGTCAGTAATATTAGATGATAAAAAATATCAAAGCTTTTCTTTTTCACTTATAATGCCTCTCACTTTCTACAAATATCAACAACTAATCATTGTAAGAAATATTAAAATCCACATGTAAATAAGCCAAATTGACTTCATTTTTTAAAATGTTACTGGTTCGCGCCGAATGGTATATCATGCATATTAAGAAAGAAAGGCATTGATGCAAAGCACCAAATGGTGTCCAAGCAAGAAAGTGACGATGAACTAGTAGACATCATTCTGATGAACAGATATTCTTTTAAAGTTTTCAATGGTTAATTGGAATTTATCAGTGAATTGTGCATGCATATCATAGATGAATGGGCAGTTGTCGAAAGACATTGTTCATCATGAACTTTGGTCGGCTTGATAAATATAAAAATATTAAATGTATTTTCCTTGGAACATACAAAACAGTAGTCAAATTGAACAAATTCTGTGTTTATTATTGTAAACAAGAGCACCGCTATGCGGAGCATTATATGCCCGAAAGTATTTTTAGTAAGGATAAAGCATTTGTAAGACATGGGAATAAAATAAAGTATTACTTCTTTCAAATAGCAATCCTCCTATGAAGTTAAAATATTGTGGGCCAAATGGAACTTAAGTTAAGCTCCGGAAACTGTTTTCAGTTTTGAGGTAATAGCGACCTTGAATTTTTATTTTGTGACCCCAAAATCAATAGGGGTATTCTACTCAATGTGGACAATCATCCTATTAGGTCTGAACACTGTGGGCCAAATGGAACTCTAGTTATGTTCTGGAAACTGTTTTCAGTTTTAAAGTAATAATGACCTTGACCTTTAACGTTGTGACCCCAAAATCAATAGGAGTGTTTTACACAATATGGACAATCATCTTATGAAGTTTGAATATTATGGGCCTAATAGACCTTTAGTTATGATCCCGAAACTGTTTTCATTTTTAAAGTAATTATGACCTTGACCTTTGACCTTGTGATCCAAAAATCAATAGGGGTCTTCTACCCAATATGGAAAATCATACGTTAAGTTTGAACACTTTGGGCCAAATGAAACTTCATCATATTAAGTTTGAACACTATGGGCCAAATTGAACTTTAGATATGGTTCCGAAACTATTTTCAGTTTTAAGGTTATAGGGACATTGACCTTTGACCTTATGTATCAAAATCAATAGGGGTCTATACCCAATATGGACAATCATACTAAGAAGTTTGAACACTGTAGGCCAAATGGAACTTAAGGTATGCTCCGGAAACTGTTTTCAGTTTTAAGGTAAATTTCACCTTGACCTTTGATCTTGTGAGTCGTTGTGACCATAAAAACCAATAGGAATCTTCTATCCGAAATTCTTTCGGGCATATGAAAATATACAAACAGCATATAAAAATAGTAACAAAAGCGACTAATATTATAACAGGCATTTTTGTCTATCAAATTAAGAAAAATGGTTTCTTTTGATGCCTTGGACTCAAGATACAGTAGCTATATTTTAAGTCTCAGATAAATACTGAAAGTAGGACACACGTTGGAATGAAAATTTTGGATTAATTTCTATAAGACCAAATTCATGATTTTTTTGTTTTACGCGTTAACAAAAACAATGGTACATTAAAAATCATAAATAAATTTGCATGGCATGTTGATGTATTGATACATTATTTATCAATGGAAGACTGTTACCTTTATTTTAGACAGGTGTCATAGGGTATGAGGAAATTCACTAACATCATGTACATGCGAGTCAAAGATATAAAAGCTACTTGACATAGGTTATAAATAAAGAGCTATTGTTAATGATTTATTGGGAGA